CCTGCTGAATGTGATAGTCAGTCGACTATCACACAGGAACAAAGGTGTCGGTAGCAGAAATGGGATCAGGTCCCATACTTAATATGCAAACTATTCTCCAGAGCAATTACCTGAATATCATGCAAATCACACACCACCACAAGGCTCTTTCGGAAATAAGGAGTAACTTTAAACCTTCCAGTACTGCAGGTCAAAAAAATGCTAAGTGTTTTCCTCAAAAATATGTTTATTTTTTAATTAAAATATTTTGGTTTATTAAAAATGTTCTCAAATTCTTGTTTAAGGCAGTAAAAACCATAAATCTATTACATTGGGTTTTAAAAAAGGAAAAATATTTTATTCTTTGTTCTTTTTTTTTTCATTTTCTTAATTGTTTAGCTTAAAAGGGAGAAAAGGGAAGAAAAAGAAACAAAAAAAAAGAGGGATATGCAGGAGAACTGTAGCAGGATTTTTCAGAAATTCAAAAAGTTAAATCTGATCTTTTTTCTTCTATTAGAATCTGGCCGAAGCATTGCTTGTGATAATTACAATGCCACTGTACAGTGTGGATCAGGAGAAGTCATTCAAATTGGAGAGAGTTTCTATGGACGGAAGACCCCTCACTACTGTGTATTAGAGACTCCTCTCCAGTATGATACAGATGAAGACTGTAGCTGGATCAGTGTCCAGGATGAAGTAGCAGGTAGTATCTTATGGCATTGCTTGTCAGAAGCGTAGAGTATGTGCCAAAGTTCCCGGTCCTTAAAATACTTTATCTTGTATTTCAGTAGAGTTAGTGAATGGGAAAGTGGATTATTCCTAACACGAAGGGAATCACAGAGAGCTTCTGATATGGAGGAGGTTCCCACAGGAGGCTGGATGGAAAGGAGGGACTTTGTGAGGAGCAAAGATTCAGAGAAGGACAGGGCGAGAAACTGGAGAACAACGGTGTACGTGATTCCTCTAACTGTGTGAAGAAAATATGCGGGCACACTGATTCCCTGATGAACTCAATGAAAGACCCTGGGTTTGATAGAGATGGAAGAGAACACATTCATACAAAGCTAACTCCAAAGCAGGAGGGGTGAAAATGCTGGCACCCATGGGGACGCGAGGGCAGAAATCTAGTCTAGAAATCAGTGACATGATATTGCTCCCCCTCCCCTTTTTGTTTCTGTAATCATCTCTCATCTGAGCTGTTATGACAGTCAAAGACAAAACCCACTAGTTCATATAAACGGGTCCTTCTTTCCAGGCCAGTGTCATGGTCTTCAGGCCTGCCAGGTGGCAGCGGACGGCACTTTCTTTGGAGAGCCTTGTCCAGCTTCGGGAAGCTATTTGTCTATTCAATACCACTGCAAGGAAGGTAAGTGGGAGGGGGCTGACAACACCAAAAGCCTATTCTGCTTTTTGCTGTAACACTGTGAGCATGGATATTTATTTTAAAAATCACTGCTCCATCCTCAAGGAACGACCTGGAAGAGCAGTGACCACTAAAAATACTGAAGGCACAAAAATGTAGCTTCCCTGTACTAATTGACAGCTCCAGAGGGTTTTTGATAAGATACAAAGCCAGGAAATTCAGACACGTAAAATGCACTTGAATGAAATTATGTTCCAACAAGAATCTTGACCAGTAGATATGGAAAAGAATCAGCTCCCTGTCATGCCACCAACGCACTCAAATTAGCAGTTGTATCAAATCTGTTTTGGGGAAGGCCTGCTCTCAACACGTGGAAATTAATTGAATTATGTAAGAAATGTAGACAAACAATGACATTGGATTCTGTCATTATGTTTTACAGGTCTGCAGCTGGTTGTAACAGATGCGTGCTTTGTCTTTGAAAATATCACGGTCACTTTGAACTGGCTGCTCTTTCCATACTCTGGCAACCTTTCCTGTATCATTAGCACTGGAGATGGCCACACTATTGATCCTTACTACCCTCTAACGTAAGATAAATCTTTCATGTATCATTAGACAACCAGTAAATTTCACTGCTTGCATTTTATTGAATGCTTCAAGTCTCTTAAATGAGATGTGAAAAATTAAGTAGATTAATAATAGATCATACATACAGGACACTTGGATTCTGCAGAAATTTGTTGTGAAATTAATATAAACTTTTCAGTCAAGCTGCCAACCACAATCTTTCTTCTGCTTATTATGACAAGTGATTCCTATTTCTTACTAAGAGAATTTATTCCAGATCCTAAGACAAAAAATTACTGAAAACATGTCAGTAACTACCGAAGAAACAGGCAAGCATTATTTTCTTAAGTTTAAAGAATATTTTTTATAACATTTAAAATAATACAATGGGGGTTTTCTTTTATTTTAATTGCATAAAAATTATGTCCTTAAAAGATCAAACATTTTTCTGCCGAATTTAAAAATCAGATTTTGTCATGATGCTAGGAATGACAGAGAATGGCTCTAGAAATTTATTTGTCTACTAATGGAATCCTACTTGAGTCAACTAGAAAAATAAGAGCAGAATGAAAACCAAAGGTGGTAACGTACTAGAAGCAGTAAACATTCTTTCAGAGTTACAGACACAAGTCTGTAGCTGTAAAGAACTTGAAAAAAAATCTTTGCTAGTGAACTTTTAAGTAAAATATATTTGCTAGCTGTAAGCAGAGGCTTGCTATTTTTATGGGAAGCCCTTTTACTTCACCTACGAAATGGCTGGCAGTCATGCTCATCTGTTTTCTGTGCCTGGTTTGATACCCACTCTTACAGGAACTGCCTTTTCTGTTCCGGTCTTGTCATTGGCATGTTTTTGAAGTCCAGTTAGAATTAAACCTTTTTCTTCATTAAAACAACTAATGAAAAATATACATTATCAAGGATGATATGTCCTGATCTTTGTTTGCATTTGCTAGGTGGTACCATGATAAGAATATAAATAGTTCAGAAAGAATAGTGTCAGGAATATTACTTATTTGCCTTCCATGGTGTATGTCATTCAAGAAGGATATCCTTAGGTTCTTTTCACCATCTTGTGATGGTGAAAGACTATGCTTGTTAGTAATAATAGCAACTACCACAGAGTTCTTCGTATCCATTCGTCTCCGATTGCTATCATGACCGGAGCTGCACCAGACCCAGGAGTGAAGAGACCTTTTTGCTAGCATGGGCAAGTATAGAAGCAGCTGCACATAAAAAAAAAGAGCAAGGGAGTGCTCTGACAAAATGCTGAGCAGCCTCATCTTCCACTGATATACCTAAGAGACAGTAAACCAGGAATAAAACAAAGAATAGAGAATTAAGAGCACAATTACACGTTCTCATGCACATAGTCACATGTCTGTGCTCAGAACCAACAAGTCACAAACCAGATCTAATGCCACATGTTATTGAACTGTAATCTACCTACTCTAGAGCAAAATGTATCCACTCTTATAGATAGCTTGGAGAATGACCACTGCTGATACCTATCCTTAATGACACCGTAGCTGGAACAAAGAAACTTCAACCCTAAAAATTCAATGTAAATAAACAAGAGATTACAGTGGTTGCAGGAGAGCTGAGTCAGGTCAGAAATCTGGGTACTGTGACCACTGTTACGACGTAAGGCTAAGGACCTCCCAGGACAGTCTTCCACAATAAGCAGCTGTTCTCTTTCTATTCTAGGCTGGTCAGCAGCATCACATACAGATATTCATCTCCTGGAGAGTTTACCATTTTTGTGGAATGCACCACCAGCGAATGGCATGTGACGGCACAGAAGCGGGTGACTGTTCAAGATAGGATGGATCAACTAAGCATTACTGGGTGCTCTAGCCAGTATGAATCTGGGAATAGCTCTCACTGCCGTACACTGTATGGGGAGTTGCTGTGGATTCAAGTTGAACTCAATGGAGGTGAGGGTAATTACTCTGCGTAATTTAGATGGTAAGCTAAATATTATGCCACCCATGGAATAGAAGCAGGATTTTCATTATGCAAAACAATACTTCTTTTTAGTGAATGCTTTCCCTCTAATTCCTGCAACTGAATGCTCTCAGCTCCATTGCAGGGGTTCTTTCTCAGCGCTATTATACCACCTCAAACATAAGCATAAACCCTTTTTCCCTCTATACAAAGTTGACAAAGTGTGAGCATAACTTTAGTCACACAAATCCACATGAAGCCAGTGAGAATATTTTCATATTTGAAGTTAGGAATCCACAGAAATGCTTCTCTGATTGAGGGTAAGAGAATTCCACACTGAGCTGGTCACATTTGCCGGTGTTCATTTTGTTCTCACTTCAAGCTCCTGGAACCCACATATATGCTTAAAAATTAAAATTCAGTAGTGTATGTTTGAATTATCTTAAGTGCCCAAACACTCCCAGCAGAAAACACACACAGGGGGACAAAAGCACCTGAAGTGACTTTACTAAAAATGACTGCATTGCTGCTGTGTTCTTATGACTCCTTTATAAATACCTAAATGCTGCACTAAGCAGCTCGAATCAGATGGCCTATTACACAAGCTGTGAGAAATTTTGAACTGTCTTTTTGCAGGCAATGGAGTGACCTACATTATATTAGCAGATAACAAGACACTCACTGAATCCAGAGCAAAGGAAGGAATTGTCCCTCACAATCTGACGCTCAACAGTGCCTCTCAAGAGCTGCTAGGCCCAGGGATACATCAGCTGGAAATCCGAGCATCCAGCAACACAACTGCATTGGAGGTCTCTGAGAGTGTTGCTGTTCACTTAATTGAGCCAGTATCTGGTCTTCAGGCTGCATTAGCTTCTCACACCCTGCAGCTGGGGGAGAATTTGGAGATTAATGTCTCTGTGTCTCATGGTGCCCCAGATAAGCTGAAGTTTGTGGTGATTGGATCTAATGAAACTCAATGTCACAAAGAAGATGGCCCTCATGGGGAACGTCGAACATACATCATTCCCGTGCACTCTGAAGGTACAGCATGCGGGCATCTTCTGTATTTCCAAGACACTCACATCTGAGTAGAGGAGTTCACATAAACAATCACAGCATCCTGGGGTAGGAGACAATAACATACAGTTGAATTTGGTAGCTTTTCTAACTGCTCAAACTTGGTCTGCAGAACAGTATGAACAGCACAGTCTTACCGACTTCTACGTGAGCTGAAAAAATTGAACAGGCAAACAGGTCTCCATATGGAGACTGAAAGCAAGACTTCACCTGATTTTTACAGTAAAAAAGACACAGTGAACCAGGGTTTATTTTTTTCATGACATGATCTGATTCAAGTGCAAATGGTGACATTTTCCTGAATCACAAAGTGTTTTTCTCCTATTTGTTTATATGTATAACTTTTCAAGTTTACACTCCTCCATATTTTACACTGCAGTAATTAATAACCTGAGGAGTTCTCAGTAGAGAAGGCAAGGAAAAGGGGAGCTTTTCTGTGCGTCGGTCTCCAAGTCATAGTTTTTGTTGGACTTATGAATAAGCTTTTTGGTAATTTTTTCTTTCCATTATTAAGAAATCAAAGCCTTTGTATGTGAGATTAGGGAGAGCTAAGAGTTAATTAAGTGGCAGAAGATAAAAAAGTTTCCCCCTCTAATGAACTATTCAAATCCCATGCTAAAGCTGGAACACTATAAGCTAATTATGATTTCATTTTATGTTTTAAAATTATTCAATATTAAAAGTTTTATTGGGTCTCCCTATACCCATTTGAACATCCCTTCCCTTCAGGCAGAAATTTTCAAACAAGACAGCTGTTCTCTCAAGATGCCTAAACTCATTTGGACACGAGTATTTGCACACCTCTAGTTTCCTGTGTGGTAATATCATAGCCAGCTGACAAAGAATAGCATTGCAAGTGCTAGGACAAAGGCAGCTGAGTTATTAAAAAGGTGAGATAAAGGGGAAGAATATTCCTTGAAAAGCCTTTCAGCAGTGGAAATTCACCAGAAAAACTCCAAAGCTCTTAACAGGAAAGAGTAGGATTTTCTTTATGAATTGGATTTTATATTCCAAACATGATGGATTGGTCCCACTGCTATTCCTAACTGGCCATTTCTCTTCTCTAGGTACTTTCCTAGTGAAAGTGGTGGCCATGAATGCCTTCTCAAACATGAGTCTGGATCTTGGGTTCATCACTGTGTTGGCAAACAGTTCTCATAAAAAAGGTAACTGCATTAATCTAACAGTGCTGGTTTTTGACCACATAAGACTCTTTTTGCAGTCAGAGCATTTCATGGAGTGTTTATGGTTTGCATCTAGTAATTGCTTTCCTTCCAGCAACAGTGCTGAACATTTTTGTGGAGGCTGCTTCCTGATGAAGGCAGATTCCCTGGCTTTGAAGTAGTCATAAATTAGCACCACTCTGTATATGCTACACGTTGCACATTTGCAATTTCTCCTAGAAATAGCTAGTTAACTTTATGGCTTAGGACGTAGTTCTGAAACTAGGAAATATTTGCATCACAGCGATCTCATAAATTGCTGTCAGTAAATGCTTCTAGATGGCTCATCCTTACATTTACAAAAGCAGATTATTCCAGGAACAAAGTGATTTTAGTACTAATCCTATTGAGACTTTCCCAGTGCTTTCTCTCAATTTTTCTTTGTACATTGATGAAACTCCATCGCCTTCTGTGAATTTATTTTGATTTACACCATTGTGTTTGAAGAATCAGGATCACGCTCTTTATAGTATATGACTAGCTTGTTACAGTTTTTCCTATTGTAACTAGACTTTTTATCACAGTTCTAGAGTCTGATTCTTGTAGCCCTATCTTTCAGACTGTCAGTAGTCAAATCCTGTGTATTTAAGTCATATTCACTGAGGATGTCTGAAAGCTTTACAGATAGCACTAAAATATTCTGCTCTTTTTTGTATTAAACAGATTCTGCTAAGGAAGAAGGCAGCTCCAAAACAAATACCCAAAAGACAAACGTAAGTATTATTTAAGGAACTTTCTTTAAAATTGAAAAGCTTAGAAATTTTTCTTACCAGTAAAAGTGCTGCATAAGATATTGAAAAGAAGTATTTGTAGCATACCAGATTGTGGACTAGATTTTCTATGTCCCATATGGTTTAACATAAAATCTACACCAAAAGTCTCTGGGACAAATGTGTTTACAGGCATTCAATCTACAATTCATAAAAGCCTGCAAGTAACAATTACAAGATTAGAGAAAATGAACTTTTCACAATTATTCAGTTTTGGAAGTTGAAATTCTTAGATGAATTTTTAATTTGTCTACTTGACAAATGTAAACCTCTCTTTGAGGGGCTATCCTTCAAGCAGAGTTTACTACATTTCTATATTGTTTCTAAGTGTTTTCTGCTTCTGTATTGGAATGTTTAAGTTACTTTGCAAAGAAGAAAGTTCCAGTTTACTGCAAACTGAGAAACTAATGATACACCAATGGCTAGCAGCTGCACAAATTTAAATAATAAAATTGCCAGGTAGAACATTTTGTTACCATCTTAAAGATCTAGTTTTTAACTATAACGCTAGCAGACAGATGTCTGCTCTAGGAGACGTGCTGCTTCACAAGAAGGCATCGTGCTTTACAGATAGCCTGTAAGAATATATTGCATCAGAGGAATATAAATCTAATTCAAAATGAAGTTTATCGCAGTTCGTTGCACAGAAAGACAAATTCAGCTACTTCCTTCTTCTCTTTATCTATAGCTGTAATGTATCCAATTCAGATAAAAAAGGAATGTACTAGAAGATGTACTAGAAGACAAATTATCGTCCAAGGGTTAAAAGCCTTGGTCCAGAAGTGGAAAATTAATAGGAATTAGTTTCCTAAGTATCTGCATTGGTTTTGAGAATGGGAGCTGGGCTCCTAAGCCGCTTATGCGTTTGGGAGCGTTTTGCCACCCAATTTCTCTGTGCCATCTTCTTCTCTTCCCATAGCTTCTACTTCTATACTTCCACTGATCAGGGAAAGATCATTTAAACTACAGATCTGCATACAGTGATTTGGTGTCTAAACTTTCAGACCTTTTTCATTATAAAGAAGCAAGATACATATGTGCTTATACTTGCTCCTGTCCTAACTGATACATTTACTTGCTATTTAGGATCACAAAAGAAAAAACAAAATATATATTAGACCGAGTCGCCATGTGGATCCTTTCACAACTGTTACACTTGGCTGGCCAGTCAACAACAATAATTCCAGTTTTCTCTGGTCCTGTGGTACGTGCATTTCCTGAACTTTTCCACCAACTTTTATTTGATGAGTAACAAACTCACTGTGATGTCAGATCAAGTGGTGAAAATCTGACTAAAGGATGGTTTACTCTCTGGCTTTAAAGTTTGCCACTCACTATACATGAAGAATGTCCTTCTACCTTACTGTGGTTTTAACATCAAACTAATTATGGTATACAATACGGCATAGTAATCAGTTTTGTCTTTTCCTAAAGGTTTCAATTTTTCAAGATCTGCCTGTCCTAAGCCCTCACTCTCATAGCCAAGAACTAGTCCCCATTGACTTAAATAGTCAGGCATTTGCAAGGTATATGTGTCTCAATAAAACAGCAATGATTAGCATTAAACATGATGCAAAAACATTTAAGGCTGAAAACTGGATTGAGATTCAGAACATCTGTGTTCTGTTCCCATATTTATCCCTGACCTCATACGTTACTTTGAAGAAGTCAGTCTGTACTCTGAACTCTGATTACCCATTCTTTAAATTGGGTTCAGGAAACCTGTTTGTTCTATAAAGCTCTTTGAAACCTATGGCAGGAAAGTCCTTTATAAGAGACATGGGATGTTATGACTATTCTAATTATAAAGGAAATGTTTGTGCAGGAGCTTGCTGGCCTGCGTGGAACGAATGTGTGCAGCAACAGATAATCCTAACCAACCAACCAGAGGTGCAAATCCCACCTTCCTGCCTTCCTCCTCCAAAGTCAGCAGTGACTGTCAGGGTTACAGTCCAAAACCACGGCAATGAAGAGAGGCAGGATGAACAATGTCTCTATGTGACGGCAAAACAAGAACTGCAACTGGAAATCAGGTGTGTTTTCAAACCCTAGTATTCACTGGTTAATATTATTACTGCACAAACATAGTGCAAGGTGACAGTCACCAACAATAATGATAATAAATTGATAACATTAACATACTTATTGTTGTAAATATATTTATACCTTACCTAGGAATTACAGACAAAATGGGTCTTGCTGCATTTTTCCAGTCCACATTTCTGAACATAATCCTTTTATAAGCTGAATAATATTCTTCCCAAAACCATTTAGGGTTTTTGACCCAACTACATCCTTTCAATGTTGGAGATTTCCATATGCAAACCTCATTGAAACAATGGGAATAAGTCCCATAATGTATGTCTGAAATTTCTACTAGACACCCAGATACACATTACTGCCTTAAAAAAATCTGTTCTTCAAGAGTCTAGTGCCTCATTAAAGAGCAGTGGCATTTCAATGATCTATTAATATAATCATTTCAGGAGCTTAAATAGAAGCAGGCTTCATTTGAGACCCTGAATCAATTTTGCAACATAAATAGTTTCTGGGTTCTGGGTCTCAGTCATGTCGAAAACGGAGATGAAGGTTCCTAAATCTCTTGCTTTAAAATTAAGTATTTCACTATTTGTGAGTCATGTGTCACTTGTCTCATATTGCAGGGCTTTTGCAGATTTTCATCAAATAAGACTAAAACAATCAGCATCAAGGACTATGACATCTCATACAGTTACTACCTGTAACTACCATCTTAATTCCTTACAGATGTGAGGCAAACTGCAAGCCAGTGAATGCTAGTGATGAAGTTGTTTTGAGTGTCTCTGAACAGAAGGACTCCCAGGCCATATATTATAAATGGTATTTAGATAACACGTTCCAAACCAAGGTGAGAGCATCAGATTTGTCAGAAATACTGCACACACAAAAATAAATGTCCATCCTGAGGAAAAGCCATGTGGCCTCAGGGTGATACTTTGTCAAATGGACACTTTGGAAATAAAAGTGAAGACCGAGACAAGGGGCCATCTGGTTTGGGAGCGGTTATAATGAAGGGCACCAAACTGCCACCCTGCTCCTGATAAATCACAACAGAAATCACAGCAAAGAGCCTCTACTGTCATGTTTGCTTTTCTGTCCGATTTTCCAGTATACAACCCTCCCTCTAGCCTGTGGCCTGACTGGTTTCCAGCAGAACTCTTTGAATTTGCTTCAAAGCAACACATCCATGTTGAAAATGAACAGCTCCTTCTTGCAGACACAGGGAGAAGCCTTTCAGATTAAAGTAACAGGTAAGGGCAAGCAGAGTTTCTCTGACTCCTTTGAGATAGTCTCTGCTGTCATGACATCACACTGATGGTACACACACATAGCCTCGCTGACAAATATGAAGTTAAATTAGTCCACAGGTTGAGAGCTGTTACTTTATACATGGGTTCTTAAAAATAATTAAGAGCTAAGTTTGTTCTGGGCTGTTGCACAGCAGGACAAATTGAGTTATCTTATTCCAAGCTGTTAATAACTTTGTTAAGGCTCATCTGGAAATGAAGTTATGCTAAATGCTTGATCAAATAATACAGCTTTGCTTTATAATGCAAACATTACCATGTTTTTAATAGTTCTTCTCCTCTTACGGCTTATTCGATAGCAGGATTTCATTTCTGATTAGGCCCACCCTGATGTTTCTGGTGCCTGAACAAACAGCATCGTTGCTAAGTAGGCAAGATTTATGTCTGAGGATCAGTGCTGCCGGGGCATGATCGTTGCTGACGTTCTGCTCCCTCCACTCCCAGCAATGACTCAGCGTGGCTACGGGGAGGAAACGTACCTTGTCAGCACCGTGCCTCCGCCTGAGATCCCCAGTTGTGCCGTGTCTCCCAAGCAGGGATCAGTGCTCACCGCGTTCACAGTCTCCTGCAGCGCTCCTTGCTTGGCGGGCTCATGCCAATCCAGCCATAACAGGCAGCTCACATACTGCTTCTATCTGAAATCAAGTAAGTCCTCAGGTGAACTGTTTGGCTGACTACTTCTCCCTGTTTCAGGCAAACACTGTTCCTGTGGCTAACAAGAGCAAAGGCACAACCTGCTTCTGCTCCGCCGGGAGACTGAGTCAATCAGGTCTGCGCAGAGCAAACCCAGAGTCTCCTGTTCTTAGAGAGCAGGAGGTGTCTGTCTGGTGTCTGGTAGGTGACCCTCTCTTTCCTCTTTCAGATTCTCTCCTGCACTGTGGCCCGGATCCTGAACTCTTCCCAGTTTATCTTCCACTTGGAGAAAAGGAAAATAATTTCATTTTACATATGACAATTACTGTTAGCAACAGCTATGGTGATACAGTTCACACTAATGCTTCAGTGAAGGTACACAGAATTACTTTATTTCAAGATCTCTCAAGTTGATACCTAACCTGCAATTCACTTTTGGAGCTTCTTCCCATTTTATACTTATTATTTCTCTCTGAATATGCCATAATCATCATTTTCCTATCTAGCAGAGACTATTCTCTGTGGACTCAAGGCAGTCAAAAGAATCTTCCAATGCCCTTTCTCTAGGACAGAAGTTTAAGATCTATGCAGACATTGGGCAGCATAAGCTGTATTTAGTGAGTCTGGAGTTACTCTGTGTGGGCCCCGGAAAACTCCTGCTTCTGCCCCAGTGCCCCAGCAAGGAGATCCTTATCAGGCCACTAAAAATAAAACATTAAAAGTGGGGAACACAAAGTTTTCTGTCCGACTCTAGCTAGGCTGTCAGTAAGATAATCATGGAAGTGGTTCAAAGATAATTAGAACAGCGCTAGCAATATTAAGAGAATATCTGATTTCTTTATCAGGTTGGACATGCAGGCATCATTGATGGGAACCTGACCTTGCAGGCTGTTGTATCTGAGAAGACAAACACCATCCTAAAAGATGGGAACAACAGCATGAGTCTTTTCCAGCTGTATAAGTCAGTGACATCAGTCCTTAATCAGGAGACCCAAGAGGAAAAGTTTAACATATCTTTACAGACAGACACACGAAAAGAGGTCAGCCAGTCACTTGTTTTCTTGCAGTACAATGCAATATAACAGACTTTTCACATTCTTTGGCAGCTCTTAAGTAATAAAAAGCTCATGTGTCACCACCTGAAATCAATGAAAGTTTCAAGTTTCTAGTATCTGCCTCAGCATTTGGCACAGGTTTCAGCTATTTTTCACGATTTTCCCACATAAATAATTTGTTTTATCATCCATCAGTAAAAGAATTAATTCTCAATTGTTACTGCATTAACTTAAACTAATTTGGATGGTCTTTTAAAACTTAAAATCAACCTGATTTTCCACAAACAATTTAAATATTAACAAAATGGCCTCTCCTGTGGGAAAAATATTCTAATTTTCCCCAAAACTACTAGATGGCAGGTAATTTTAGTTTGTTCCTTTCAGCTACCAGCTTGTGTTTGAGTTATGAGCTTATTCAGCGCTTTGAGTGCCTCAGATTAAAAGATCTAGAGAAATGCAATGTATCCTTCAATTATGATTCATTATTTGAGTTGCATCAATCATACACGGCTCCGCTTTCTCTGGAAGTGGCATTTATACAGTACTTCACGTACATTAGTACAAATTCTGACAAGTAACTCTCATTGCTATTAATGGATGTTAAGTGTATAAATTCTCTGTGCTGGGAGGTAACTTAAAACTCATGATTATACAGTTACTAAGGCAAGTGGCATCTTGTCAGTAGACGTAACATCAGTTCAAATGATCCTTGTGGAGTCTTACCCTACTGCATAATTTACAGCAAGCCTGGCTGTCAATATACAGCACTACTTGCACAGTCCTAATTAGCATCTTATTTCTTTGCCTAATTATCCCTTTTCATCCCAAGCTCCGAGGGCTGATGCTGACAACTCTCTCTGCTGTTAACGTAACATCAGTGCAGACTGCTCTTAAGATGTCAGAAGTATTGAAGGAAATCACTTACAGGAGTGAAGAGCTGTCTGTCTCAGCACAGGTAAGAAGCAATTCACCTTGTATCTCCTCACACTAACAGTTGCACCCCACTGATCTTGGAAGAGTTTCATTGCCTTACAGCTATCTGTTCTTTATACATTTTTTCAACCATACCAGCATGTGTATTTTGACCAGAAGGGAAAACATTTTGCTGTTTAGAGTAAGAGAATTTGGACTCTCAGACACTGTCTCAGCAACCACTACAACCCAGGCTATGACCAACTGGCCAGTTACATTTCACGATACATATTTAAGACGGAAACCTTAACTTTTAGTCAGAGGGATGTTAGGATGCATATTTTATTTTGCAAAGCACTCCTAGAATCCTGAAGAAAAAGAGCCCAGGAGGGTTTATCAAGAATTGCCCAGGTCCATTACTGCCTGATCCATGCGCTGTCACAAAATGGATGTAGGCAAGCTGGCAGTGAGGCAGGAACATGACAGCACCCAGAGGGACTGGGCACAAATGTTCAGATTGGCCTTACAAAAGTATTTCTTGAATCTTATCTGGCAACGTGACATTATTAGTAGATGATACTATTTATGCATAAGGAGTGAACACATGGGAGGACAGAACAAACTGTCACTGGGGAAGTTTTCCAAATACTCTGGCAATAAAAAGAGCTGTCCTGGTTTCTGATGTATTATGTAGTTGCAGCCAGACAATGTCTTGGGAGCATTTCAGCAGTATGTGGTTAACTTTGGCAAGACAAGAACATAGCTCAGATTCAGCACTCACCCTATAGTAAGGCTGCTAAGCATTTGAAGACTGTGAGACTGGAGATGTCCAAGCTTGCAATGAATTTGCTTGGCTCCCTCACGACCTTGGGCTAAACGCTGGCCGGTGCTTTCAGAATCACAAAGCTATCGTCACTGGCTGCATTCAGGTACAAAATAATAATTGTAAAACTCATTCTCCTTTGGCACTTACCACAGCACATGGCCAAAGGTATTACTTGCTGTTGATCCAGTAGGGTTTGTGAAAACTAAGATTGAAAGGCACGTGCACTTGACACTATGGTGGTATTTTTTGAACGCACCACCCAAAAGTATAACCTGATTTACTACATTACTGTATATCTAAACTGTATCCTTGCCCAGTGTTCGACAGACAAGCTTCCTTCAAATGTTATTAATCTTTTTTACAGATTAAATCTGTAGAAGCAGGCTGAACTTTTCAGGTCTGTGTTACATGTCAGTATATCATCTAGTATATCATCTTTATTGGCATCTGAGGTATTACCCCAGCAAGAATAATTATAGTAAAAACAGCGTTAGCCACAAATAGTCCCATGAGATTACTTATGTTGCAATATTCAGTAAATGACACAAGTGTCACTTCTGCCATTTGTAGTAGCAACACATATAAACTTCTCCCCTTGTTTCCCATGCAGGTGGAAGCCAGCAACACTCTAAAAGATGTCAGTGCTTCCTTGCTCACTGTAAACACAGAGGATGGCAGAGATGATCAGAAGCTAAAGGATGCAGCCAGCTATCTATTTAATGCAGTAAGCAATGTTCTGAAAGCTTCTGTAGAAATCAGAGCTGTGAACACTTCAGTGCCAGAGGCAGAACAGGTAATTTTGGTTTGGTCCAGTTTGTAGTGGACGGTGTGTGAACATTTGCTTGCTTTGCAAGGCTTTTAAGATTCTGCTGCCTCTCAGATTTTTAAATTGCCTTTGGGTAGGGTTCATTGTGACACCATGATGGACTTCAATATCAAAGGAAACTTCTCCCAGTTAGACCTGTTAGACTGAACGGTCTGGTAATGAAGATTGTAGAAGCCTCTTAAGATTTGTCACATTTAAAGCTGAACAGGACAAAGCCTTGGAGAACAGAGCATCAGGGTACGACCTCTAACGGATGACAAGCACACAGAGATTTTTTTTCAGATTTTATTCTCTCCTCTCCTTTTGCCCCATAATTCAAGGAAGCCACGGGTATTCAATATTCATGATTGGCTCCACTACTTGAAAGCTGGAATCAGCTCTGGTTGCTGCTTACACTTTTTCAGAAAGACCACCCTGATTTTCTATTCAGAATTATGCAACGTGTTTATTTTGTCCTATCCTTTCCTATCTACATGTGAATTGTCACAGTTGCCTTTGTGTGCTTCCTGGGCTGAACATATTTTAGCTTTCATCACTGGAAGGGAGTAGGGCATGAAATAAATCCAATCTGAGAGAAAAGGTTATGAACTGTTCGAACTCCCCCAGGATAACACACTAACACACAATTAATACATAATTAGGTCTTGCTTTTGCAAGTAACTAAACACTAAAGTGTGCAGCTAAAGGACATTAAGGTACAGAAGTGCATGAATACATTGCATTAAATTGATGTCATGTTTGTAGCGCTTCAAAATTCAATGTGTAGAAGTTATAAATAACAGAATATAAAAGTAAAAGCTGTAAGATATTTATTTGTTGTCTGCAATGTTTTAATGAGAATTACAGAAACTGAATTGCTGATTAGAATAACTTTCTCTGAGATTAAGAAGCACATCAAGTTTGCCAGCTTTGTAAGACACTGAAAATCAGTATTTGTTCCTAAAAGAAGTAAAGGCAAACAATGCACACCTTAATGAGTGTGAGAAGCTTTGTTGCAAATTTCCTCCTCTGATCCTTTTCCAGAGTTCAGTGTCACACCAGCTCCTGAATGCTGTTGAAAATCTACAGAGTGCCCTTCTGTTTGGGAAAGAACCAGATGATGAACCAACAGTCCTTACCACTCCTTCTGCCACAATGTATATACACAGGTAACAGCAACCGTATCTCCAACCTAGGCTCCTGATAGTTCATCAAATTTGCCCCAAATATTCATTACATTGTCCTTAAATGGAACCACCAACTAAAGATTGTAGCATAATGACAGTTTCAACAGTGCAATGAAGCTGTCATTACTAACTGATAGTAAGAATAGCTTGGACTCCAGTTAGCTTCAATAATGCCATGTTAGAAATTCGCATGCTGTGTCTTCTTTGACCAATGGAGAATTTACTACTATTTCCTGGATGAGGTAGTAGCTGCTTACCTTTGAAATTATGTGGAAAACTCATGTCATGCCAGTTAAAGGGGTTTTTTTTGTTTTCCAGTTTGCCAATAATTACATGTTATATAGAATCGTAACCAGTTTGGCAGAAGCAAATATAATCATTAGGAGCCTGATGAGCGTTCTCCATTCCCTACGATCATCCCTAAATTGTTCCTCGAGAGCCTGGTTTTCATCCACATTTAACTGTGCATTCAAAACAAGAGCATGTTCACACAGAAACCAGCTGCATCTTTCACATAAGTACACCTGGTTAGGTACAGCTTCCTATCCACATACACCAATTCCACCCCTTTTTTGATGATTTTATGGTAGTGTTACGTGGAGTGCTATGTCAGGGCCAGATTAAAGTACAAAGTATTTACTGGCAGAGTTAGAAACAGTTTTGCAACTGAGACATACTCATGAAGTGAGAAAGTTTTTTCTCTAGATATGAAGTCCATTATATTGATTTTTTTTTTTCTGGTTGTTTTGTTTTTTTTTTTCTATTTCTCTTTTATTCTGTTTTGCTTGTGTCCAACCCTAACTGGACAGATTACAAACAGAAAACATGGACAGCACATCCATTAACATCTCCAATTCCAGCTCTGCCAGCTTTACTCTCCCACCTGCTTCCGCTCTCAGTGTTTCAGGAGCTGATGACGAAACAGTGGATATAAGGGCAAGTAAACAGCTTTTATCTGACTCCATCTGAAATGCAACTTACATTCTTGGTCTAGCAGTTTTACAATCTTTTCTCCTTTTACAATGAATACACAAGCACACAAGTCATCCCTCCTGTCATGCCAAGAAAATAATTTAAATGTTTTTGGTCAAAGAAGCCTTCATTTACCTCAATTGCAAGAGGTTGGTTCAGCAAACTAAGGAGGACTGAAAGCTTAAATTCCCCATCCCATCAGTCCCTCACATACACTCCTGATTCACACTTGCATGGCTAGAGAAGGCAATTGAATGAATCAATACCTGTAAATCTATTTGTTGTTTGTTTACATTTTATGCTCTCAGGAGGATGCAACAGCTCAGAGTCCATATCACCATTAAAACTAACCTGCAGCAGTCCCATTTCATCCCAGCTAGGAATACATGGGTTTGAGGCACTCAGATCCTGCAGGAGACAAAAGGCCTGCGAATGTCCTGATGATAACACATCCCTCATCTGAATTTGGATATGGTGGTTTTTCCATCAGAACAACAGATTGCATATTATTGTCATATTTTAATAACACATTTTCTAAAGGCCTCTCTGGTTGATTCATCACTCTCAGGAAACCCCTACGATACCTGCAAAAAATGTTTTTTTGTTGTTGTGTCTTTTCCAGCTTTGCTAAAAAATGTCCAGAGCCCACTGAAACCAGTGGAAACACATCCATTGTCTTACCTGGGCATTAGGAGAGGCTCCTGAATCCTCTCATTGGACTGACAACTCTAACATATCCTTCTGTGCATTGCTATCATAGTAGAAACAGATTTCTGTTCCTAATTCCCAGAGGGGTGCCACAGCCCAGCTTTGGTGGAGTTACTTTGAAAGAGGCTTATACAATTGCATTTTGATATCTGGTGTCTAAAAGGCAAAAGGGTTACAGTGCATGGAAATAATAAACACATCACATTTGAGAATCAAAATCACTTTCAAGGTTTGTGTTTGACCTTCCTTCGAAATAAGGCAGCTTCTTATTTAAATCTGGATGCAGGCTTCTTTTAAGCCGAGTACTGTTTGGGTCCGAGCTCAAGCTTTCACTGTTCAGCAATTTAGAGTGTGAATACAATGAAATATTGACAATAGCTCAACTGCCTGATTGTTAATATCTTGCTAATAGATGGTGAGCTTTGCCGTGAATCCCTTTTTCTCCAGTGACACCAATTTTGACATCAGTGGAACAGTGGGAGGTCTAAGTCTTACTGGTCTGGATGGCTTGATCATTCCAGTCAGCGATCTCAAAGAGAACATTGAGGTAAACTCACTATTTTCTATCCCTTTCCCTCTTTCCCCGTTTTTCCCTTTCTCTGTTAACAAACTCTCATTTGTGTTATCAACTTCTGCGAGGTGACTGCAAATGGTAGTAGTGTTCATTACCTTATATAATTGGATCATGGTGTCTGCATTTGTGATGGAGAGATTTGTGTGATGTGACAAAAAATAAGTATTGCTGTCTTCTCTTAAAAAGGACATATCTTATTCTTCCTTAAATGGATGTGAGAAAGCTAATGGTTGTGGAAACAGATTCCAGATTACAGTCATCCCAAAACACAATGTAATGTCTGATTTCATCATCTAACAACTCTATGTTCATATTACTACTCTTTGGGCTTCCTAGACAATGTATAAGCTGACATCTCAATCATTCATATATGCATTTCGTGTAGCCAGTGTTTCAATCATAATCCCAGTTCTTAGTTCAGAAATACACCAAGGGTCATAGACTCTGTGATGAGTCTACATAGGTTTCAAATGAACTTTTCAGAGGTTAGCTGACAGTATCAAGAAAATTATTTTGAAGCCACTATTTTTGCTGGCCATGCTTTCCCTATGCTATGAAAAAAGATTATCTAGCATGTGGCTATATTGTGCTTACAGACCAATAGAAACAAGATGGTTTGCTGTATTTAAAGCTATGTCTTTCTGTTTAAAAACAGATAATGTTACCAAGGCTTTCAGCAACTGAGGAAGATAAGATTCTATTGAATCTGGCCAATTTTAGCACTTTCCAAGTCAACGTTACCTCCAAAAACACATCTATAGTGATCCACCTGGAATCTGAACATGACGTTCCGCTAATACTCTATGTAGGGTATGGTTATCGCCCAAATGAAACTAACTACGATATGAAAAATCATCTGTTCTATAAGAAAACTACTGGAGGTAAGATAACTTGTTAGTGACCCATGAACTTGTGCATTCTGGGCTTGTGTAATCAAAAGACTTTCACCACCCACAGCAAGTTCAGTGCAGTCAGTACGGGGAGCGCTCATCCACAACTTAACAGCACATGCATACATTTGCAAAATGAGCCTTGACCATGAGTTCAGACATCTAACTGGAAAGAAATCTCTCAAAGGAGTTTCAATCTGTCATGTTTCAGGGTTCCAATCTCTAGTATACAGTGTTCACGAACAGGAGCAAAGAGTGGGATGCTTTGAAAAATGAGTTGCTAAGAATTATTTCGTACCTGTTTCTTCAGTTTGCTTATTTGATTATACGCAATACAGCTGCATATTTCTGAATTAGCACTTCTATATATACATTGAAACTAAAATGTTTATGTTCAAGGTGAGACAAACACCTGGGTTCTTAGCCCAGAAGAACTCATTTTTGGAGAGGGAACCTACTATTTCGTGGTTTTACAAGATATGGGAACGGATTCCACAGTCTATGACAGGCTAACTATAGCTGTTACTTGCTTTGCATCCCGCTGCGTATTTTGGGATGAGCACCAGGGGAACTGGAACAGCTATGGATGTCATGTAAGTAGAGCGAAACAAAACAATGTTTATATTATATACTTCAAAGCTAGCCCTTCTAACCACCATCTTGTAGTAAAATGATAGCACTGAACTCACACCATAAACCAAGATCATTCTGAGATGTTTTAATGAACTGAAGAAGTTTAGCCATAACCAGACTAAGCTGCAAATCACATTTGCACTTCAATTTCTTGGGATGGGCTTCTATATAAGAAGAAATGGGACCATTCTGATGAGGTTGTATTATATTATAATGCCTGTTTCTGGCTGGATATTAGAATTAACATTCCTTATTGGAACTTGAACAATTCTTTTCTGTATAGCAGTGCTCCACACTAACTTACTAATCTTAGCACTGTCTTTTAATTTGCTAGGTAAGTTACCTAATACTTTGAAGCCAAATGTTTTATCAGGAAATTTTTCTGGTTTTCAGGTAGGACCAAAAACAAATCCTCAAAGCACACAGTGCCTCTGCAACCATCTGACCTTCTTCGGGAGCTCCTTCTTCATCATACCCAATGCCATAGATGTTAGCAAAACCACACAGCTATTTGGTACATTTGTGGACAACCCCGTGGTGGTGACAACTGTAGGATGCATCTTTCTGATATATGTGCTTGTAGTTATTTGGGCTCGAAGGAAAGACATCCAGGATGATGCCAAAGTAAGTCTTCAGCTAATAAAGACTGAATGTGTTTAGGCCAATTCCCACTTTGCCTAGCCTGTTTTAATAGAAAGTCTTCAGCCAATCCTACTCCCTTCACTGTAACTCTCTGTTGACTGGTAAGTATATGCATCGTTGACAAGACGACAAATTCCTATCCACAGCTTGAAGGAAGCCCTACTTACAGAACAGCTAACACACTGCTTGTGTTGTGTATTGTGTCACTCTGCAGGTGAAAATCACAGTGCTGGAAGACAATGACCCCTTTGCTCAGTATCGTTATCTTGTGACGGTTTTTACGGGACACCGCCGTGGGGCAGCCACAACCTCCAAGGTAGCAATGGCACTGCGTGGTAAGACGGTTTATGCACTCATTTAGAGAACTGGATGAATAATGGAGCACCTGAGGCTATTAAACAGGACAGCTCAAACACAACATCTAAGCCAGACAGTCCTTAGATTTTATGAAAGCAGGAAGAGTATGCCAAAGGAATAATCATACACAGGATTGAGATGCGCAAGTCTTCATTTTGCCATCTTATTTTCCAGGTGACTCTCACCCTCTATGGACTGGAAGGAGAGAGTGAGCCACACCACCTGAGCGATCCTGATACACCAGTCTTTGAACGTGGAGGAGTGGATGTTTTCCTACTCTGCACCTTCTTCCCTCTTGGGGAACTGCAGAGTATCAGATTGTGGCATGATAATTCAGGTGACAGTCCATCCTGGTAAGTGGAGATCTGGAGATCCTGGGAAGTAAAGATCCACAAATATTTTTTTATAATGAGAACAGTTTTCATCTTCCAGCACTTGAAAATTATCCTTTCTACAGTTCTAGAAGGGAAAGAAGTGTTAGTTTCTCATTTTTTGCAGATAAATAGACCAAATCATAATCTAAACTGCAGGACTAGGAGTACTTCCTGTATCCTGTGTCCAGTACAGAACAGGATGTGTTCTGTGCCTTACAGTTTAGACACAACCTAAGAGGCCAAAGGCCAGAGTTTGTTCTCTATAGTCCTGTTGAGTCCTGAATTTCATACCACTCAGTTACATGTGAATGTGCTCTGTGTGTTTTTCCGACAGGTATGTGAATCGAGTATTGGTCCACGATCTGGCATGGGATCAGAAATGGTACTTCCTCTGTAACTCTTGGCTAGCCATTGACATTGGAGAATGTGTCCTAGATAAAGTGTTCCCAGTAGCTACAGAACAGGACATGAAGCAGTTCAGGTACCTTCTATTTTATGGACTTTACTCTTGATAGCAATCAGTCTAGAAAAGCAAGTATGCAAAAAAGATCAAATCCCTAGACAAAAAAGAAAACAAGAGAGGTCTTTCTATTGCCCTCAAAGGGCTCTGAACAAGGAAAAGAGGAAGGATGGCTAAGTAAGACTAATTTTCACCCTAACAGTAATACCACACTGGAAATATTGGTGTTAACAAAGAATAGCCCAAGCATATTCTCTTATGTGTAATTTCCCTAACAATTTGTATAGAAACTGCTCATGATTAGCTTTCCCTCCATGGTGTGGCCAGAATGAAATGACATAAGAAGCTATGACCATTCTATGCAAATCAAGCCATGATATTTAGTAATTTCTCATAATTATTATTTCTTCTGATAGTGCCTAGAAGCATGAACAGGTGAGGACCCTGAACTACAGCTATATTCTTCCCTCTCCTTTCTAAGCATCCATTTGATCTTCCTCTCCTCCTTCCTAGCAATCTGTTTTTCATGAAGACCTCCAAGGGTTTCCAGGACGGGCACATCTGGTACTCAGTTTTCAGCCGCTCCCCACGAAGCTCCTTCACACGAGCCCAGCGCGTGTCATGTTGCTTCTCACTGCTTCTCTGCACCATGCTGACCAGCATCATGTTCTGGGGAGTGCCAAAGGATCCAGCTGAGCAGAAAATGGACTTGGGTAACAATCCTCACCATTACTTGGGCAGGGAAATAGAGAGACAGCAGAATCTAGAAGCAGGACAGTTGAACAAATGGGCTTTTTCACAAGAGAGAGATCTGATGGTTCCCAGGGTTATTTTTACTCCTCCTCTCTGTTTGATCTTGACAGGTAAGATCGAGTTCACATGGCAGGAAGTGATGATTGGCTTTGAGAGCTCGCTCCTCATGTTCCCCATCAACCTGCTCATTGTGCAGATCTTCAGGAACATACGATCCCGGCCAGCCACGCAGGGGAGAGAGAAGAAGCCAGGAAAGAATGGTCGAGTGTCTCCAAGCCTACCTCCCACCCCCCCGGTCACCCAGGCTGTCTCACTCACTCCAGAGGCTGTGACAAAGGCAAGTCCCTGTGGCTGCTCCCCAGTGAATCCTGCACTGCCCTCTGCTGCCATGCACTACCCGACGTCCGCAGGGTAACAGCAGAAATCTTCCCTGCCAGATGCCCTTCAGCTCGTCTGAAGTGAAAAGCCAATTACGCACTGGTGCAAAGCACTCAGTCATCCATCTACATGGAATCCCCGGCTTCATTAAGATCTGCCTGTGTACATCCCAGCCCTTGCACAGTTATTATGTGCGACCCAAATCATTGTGTTCACAGGTTAAAACAAACATTAAGCAAGACTGTGAAGACAAAAGCTATCACAGACCCTGACTTTCTCAGTTTAGGTCCTCAGGCATGTAAACTGTGTTTTTGAATCCTGAAAGCTGTCTTGCTGAGCTCACTGAAATCTGCCTGTCACATCCAGCACTGTAGGATGTGCTACCCTCATCCATTCTGGAGATTTGAGCAGCTGCTGCAGCTCCCAGCCAGTGGTGCCTTCAGATCACATCAGCTTAAGTCACTGCAGCCAGAGTCACTGCTGTGTTGCTGCTGTCTTTTCTAGGACATAAGAAGAATTGCCAACTCACTCTTTAGAGCCCTGAAGACTCCATCTCCCACTTCAGCAGCAGATCTTGGAAAATCAACTAACATCAACACACTTTTGGCATTGGTTGAGGACATCATCTGCCAGCAGAACAGAGCTGGGCAAGAGTTTTATGATGAGAGCAAAAAGGATGACCCTGTAATTGTCACATTAGGTGCTGTGGATATACAAGGTAAACAACACAATGTGACATACCTACTGAAACCTTTGCAGTGAAAATGATGGTAACGCTGGATGTGATGACCCAAGCTCTTCTTACAATCTGACTCAAAGGCAATTACAGAATCACAGAATAGTTGAGGTTGGAAGGGATCTCTGGAGATTGCCTAGTCCACCACCCTGCTCAGAGCAGGGTCAGCTGGAGCAGGTTGCCCAGGATCATATCCAGCCAGATGTTCAGTATCTCCAAGGATGGAGACTCCACAAATTCTCTGAACAACCTATTCCAGCATCGAACAGCCCTCACAATATATACGTTTTTCCTTATGTTCAGTCAGAATTTCCCATGTTTTAATTTGTGCCCATGGCCTCTTGTCCTTTCATTGTGCACCACTGAACACCCAACTGAGTAAAGACAATGTGAAATCTCTATTTCTTATGCTGTAGGATTAAATGTTAGCTACCAGCCTGGCTTGGGAGCAGGATCACTATCTAATAGCACGAAGACTCACAAATATCAGTCATTTCACAGTCTTTTTGTTCTGTCCTTTTTTTCTTCTTGGCCTTGCGCTGTTGTTTCTTTCAGTCTGACTCTTAACTTAGGTTTTCATTTATTTTCAATTAAACAAGAATAGATGAATAAACAATCCCACTGATTTCATTAAGACTCACATTTGGCTTTTCCAATGAGTGTACCAAGCTACTAATTGCACAGGTTAACTATGAACAAATTAAACTTGATCTTATCTGACTTCTCTGTCAAGGTTTTAGGACCTCTGTCTAACTAAGTTGCCTTCTGGAAACAATCCCAGCCCATTCCAGCAGAAAAGCATCAAGCTCTAGTACTAAAGCTGCTTTTACATGTCCCTTCAAATGTTACTCTTTGCATTGTCGAATTCATAATCTTGCGCTCCGGTTCAGCCACTCTTTGTACTGAACAGTATTTTAATCTAGGAATAGCTATGCTGATTTTATTTTAAAATAAAGAAATAATTCTTTGCCTGCAGAAAAAACAAGAAGCCCAACTCCAGAGAAGGGAATGTGTGAGCGACCAAAATACAGTGATTACAATCGCTGCTTGTACATGCAACTCCACCATGTAGGAATGGAGCTGGAATTACTGGGGCCCCATAAATTTCAGATGCCTCAGAGTTACACACAAGCTGTTCGTCAGGTTCATCACATGAAGAACCTTCTGGAGAAGCAGATCTGCTCATCAGCGTCCACCAGTGAGAGGTAACCTAGTTCTCATCTCGTTCTCAGTAAATTCAGGTCGTGGACTCAAAACTGGTCAGGATGACAGAGCCTAAATAATTACTGCCTGATAGGTGCTAGATAACCATTATTGTAGCTGTAGAAACATGTTTTACTATTATACTATTGTAGGAGCAACAAAGACATTTCAATACGCTGTGAACTGCACACAAAAGCAACAATGACAGATCATCACTCTTTGTAATTTTTGTCTCCAAAAGTGAATGTTACAATACAATGCCACATGATCGCAAAGGGCTGGGATAATCACTGAGCTCCAAAGTCTCAGAAGACTGTTAAAATGTATGGATAAAGAAAAATTAATAAGCAGACAAAAATATTTCAGTGAAATATGATCATTAAGTTGGAAGTATTGAAAACAATAGCACTGATTATCTGTCTGGCCTTTATGGTGATCACAAGAGATGTATCCAGCAGTTAAAATGCACTCATGGTTTTATTTGTTGATATTTCTACTGGAGGTTCAATTATGCATGAACTGAAGAGTAAATAAGCCCATCATATTTGTTTTGATTTTAGCTCATCTCTGTACACTTCCTTATAGTTTTGCTCCCTGTATTTTTGCTATCCATATATCCTATACAACTGCATTAGCTAAAAGAATGCAGAATATTTTGACTGAGATTTTAAATTAAAGTGCCTATCCCCACTGAACCTGAAGACTGTGATTTTGGCTTCTGTTCCACTGCAGAGTGATTTTTTTCTCTTCTGATTGACTCTCAAGGTGGTCCCTTACTCCAAGCTTCTCCAGCGATGGCAAGAAAAGTTCTTCCAAAGGGCTGCCCTGGTGGTTTGTCTTCATTGCTTGGTTCCTTGTTGCAGCCACCAGTGGTGTATCTGGGTTCTTCACCATGCTCTACGGGCTGCATTATGGCAAGGAGAACTCCATCAAGTGGCTGATCTCCATGGCCATCTCCTTCTTGGAAAGTCTTTTCATCACACAGCCCTTAAAGGTGAGATCCTCAGAAATACAACCACTGGCCAGTATGAACTCATTCTACTATCACTTCAGGAAGAGAATGATGTAATTTGCTCTAAAGAACCATAGGATTTAACATGTAAAATGAGAAGTCTCTGCCCTTAAAACAAGAGCTAGCAGGTGGTTTACAGAGTTCTGCCATCTTTTGCTGACATTAACTCCATTGGTTTCATCTCCCTTGTTTTGTTAGAGTTTAATAGGTGATGAGGTTTCTGACCAGGGAATACGTGTCATATGGCAAAATTGGTTTAACTGGATGCACCCCAGCACTGTGCACTGTTCGTTTGTTTATAAGCTTCATCTGCATGAGTTCAACAAAGCTAAAGCATGGTTGTTCTACAGTGCCTGGATCCAAAGGGATCCAGGTCAAAGCCTGAGCTTCTTTATATGAAATGGGCATATGGTGAGTCTTATAGCTAATTCCTTCCAGGTGCTGGGATTTGCTGCTTTTTTTGCTCTGGTTCTGAAGAAGGTGGAACATGAGGATGAAGAAAACACAGCTATTGATGGGCCTTTATCTGCACCAGGTAATTGCCTGTAAAGTGAGAAGTTATTAAAGGAAGTAAAGTATTCTCCAAGCTTTTGGAGTGCTTTATCCACAAATATGTGACTCAGCTCAACTGAGAACTTCACTGGTTACCTTTATATACCTGAATCTTAGCTGACAAGGTTAGTGGAAATCACTAAATCCACAGGTGCTGTGACTATGTCCCTACTCATTAGCATTCCCAAGATCAATGTGGAAGTGGAAACAAACCTAAATAACTTTATTTCGTGCCAACTGGAGAAAATATGAAGACCACAGTATGCTTAGGTTGGATAAATCTTGCAGAACACTTAATGAAAGAGACCACAAGGTCAAAAAGATATGAGAGAAGTTCTGGATCAAAAGAATAATACCTCCTTGTTTATGTTTTTACTGCTGCAAATACATATACATGCACAATCTCCCCTAGCCCTGTTGTAAGATTGCCCCTGTTACTGGAGGACCTACTTGCTACCAGGATACTGATATTTGACTCCTTCCTTCCCTCCATCCCGGGCTTGACTATGTCAGGAAAAAGAAGTATTCTCCTATATTGATTCATACTAGATTAAGAATTGTACAAGTGGTTAGTCAATTACTTTTCAGTCCGTCAACATTCAAGGAACACCTAGAAAATAAAATAATGAAATGTGGCAAACTGACTGAAGCCGTTATAATCAAAATGAATGAATCAGCGCTATTAGTATGCAGTAACCATGCTTAAATATTTTAGGTCTCAGGTCAGTCATAAGAAAAATCAGATACACAAGAAGGCTTGTTTTAGCTCTGTGCAGACATCTCAGCATTCATGGCATGGCTTGCAACAAAACTCTTAACTATTCCACAACCTAGTGAAAATGAACATGTGACCCACTGCAAAACGCACTCTTCATCTAGATTGGCAGAACTTTATCTGACAAGCATATCTAAAACTCTCAAGAAAATTTCCCACCTCCTCTAAGTCTTATATGAAAATCTTAAGTTTACATACTTTTCCACAACCACAATTATCTGTATTATTCCCATAAACCAAACAGTGGCTTCTGCAATCACAATCATGTCTGAAAAAAGCTGACGCAAGCAGACAGGAGTCCTAGGGCACAGCAAAGAATCCTGATCTACAGCTTCTTCCCTGATCAGCCTCAGGCTCTGAATACATTACCTTCTGAGATGCTCAGCCTAGACAGACACCTGGACTACGCCTTGGCCTAAACCTAACACACTGTGATTGTGAGCTCCTTCCCTTACTGTTTGCCTTACTATATGTATTGGGTTTGCGTGGCAAGGTT